TGTGCTGATCGAGGAGGGAGAGGAGGGAGACAAGCTAGGTGCGCTCGCGTCATATCTGTCGTCATACCCCTCCCTCCCAACCATTCCCATGGCGCAGATCTCCTCTTTAAGTGCACAGGCTGATGTCGAGCAAGGCAATGATACCGAGAGGGTTTGCGATGCATGGTAAAGGACGGCATAGCATGGTGTAGAAGAGCGCGGCAGAGCAAAACATGTCATAGCATGGCTTGGCATTGCGTAGTGCAGCATTGCTTCGCAAACCGTATCATCGCAAATCATGGTGTTGCACAGCGGAGCACAATGCAACATCGCATTGCGTGCCATGGCATGGCACCCGATGCTTTGGAAGGTAAAGGGCCCGTGCACGAAAGGATAAGGCCTGTCCAGAATCCCGGCTCCATGTCCTGCGCAACCGTGCCTGCCGGATGTGGGCGCTTTCGAATGCCAAGTGCCGTCTGGTAGGGGTGCTGTAACAGCGTAAGGCCCCCCGCGTTCCCCGGGCTCCCTTCCAAGTCTCCCTGGGCTCCTCGGACAAGTCTGCGGGAGGCATTGCGGATGGCCCGAAGACTTTTGGAAGCTCCAGGGAACGCACAGAAATTACCGACGGCGACAACGACGCAGACGACGACGGCGGCGGCGGGGGAAGCTGCGGCGGGCGAGGACGGATATCAGGGAATAGTACGGCGGGCTACCAGGCTCGATGGTCTGGCTTCCTTGAACAATCTCGCACTGGGCCCCTGGACCCCTCACGGGGTCAAGTTGGATCGGCGTGTTCCAGCCGGGTCGTTTAAGGTCCCGGAAGGTTTCTACGGCCCCCAAAATCAACGAAGCGACACCGAATGTGTAATCACTCCCGATGACTTTTTCGGAAGCGATTTTGGGGCCGACTTGGAAGGACCGAAAACCATGCCGTGACAAGGCGCTGGAAATAATCACGCCAACGCTGCAGCGCGAGCGCGATTCGGAACGAGCGGAAGTGCGGAAATGAGGCCAGCGCTGCAGCGGGAACGCGATTCGGTGGACGCGTAGCTTGACATAGCATGGCGTGGCGCAGCCCCCAAGTGGGGGGGGGCTTCTGCGGCCCAAAAATCATCGGATCGCCACCAAATGTGTAACCACTTCCGATGTTTTTTTTTCGGGGGGGCATTTTCCAGATTTTGAAGACTATTTGGAAGGACCGAGAACCATGCCGTGGCATGGCGCTGGACAAAAATGACGCCAGCTCTGCAGCCGGAGTACGATTCGGAACGAGCGGAAGCGCGGAAATGAGGCCAACGCTGCAGCGGGAACACGATACGGAACGAGCGGTAGCACGAAAATGAGGCCAGCGGTTCAGCGAGAGCAGCATTTGGAACAAAAACCAAACGAAAACCCAACCCCGGGAAATCCAATGTGCAAAGAAAACAATACGCTGAGGGGGGCCAGACATGTCCCGCACGTCACCAGGGGAGAGAGGAGAGCAGTATTCATAGTGAGTAATCAAGGAGGGAGAAGAAGGAGAGGGAGAGGAGGAGGAGGAGAAGGAGGAGGCCGTCCACATCCTTGGCCAGCACGGCGTGCTGTTCGAGGATCTGGACGGCCAAACGGTCAGGCCGACCTGCTGCTGCTGCTGCTGCACGCCTCCCTCGTCGCGATCTCCTGCGCCGCCCCGGTGTCGACGGCCAGCCGTCCAGATCTCGATCAGCACGCCGTGCTGGCCGAGGATCTGGACGGCCTTCTACTCCTCCCCCTCTCCCTCTTCTCACTCCTCCTCCTCCTCCTCCTCCTCCTCCTCCTCCTCCTCCTCCTCGTCCTCCTCCTCCTCCTCCTCCTCCTTCCCCTCCTCCTTCCCCTCCCCTCCCTCTCTCTCCCTCCTCTCCTTCCTCTCCCTCCTCTCCCTCCCTCCCTCCCTCCTCTCCCTCCTCTCCCTCCACCTCCTCCTGCCATTTCCTCCTCCTCCTCCTCCTCCTCCTCCTCCTCCTCCTCTCCCTCCTCCTCCTCCTCTCCCTCCTCCCTCGTCCCTCCCCCCACCTTCGTCCTCTCTCCTCCTCCTCCCCCCTCCCTCCTCCCTCCTCCCTCCTCCCACTCTTCCTGCACCTGCTCCTTCCTCCCTCCTCCCTCCTCCCTCCTCCTACCCCTCCTCCCTCCTCCCTCCTCCTCCTCCTCCTACACATCTTCCTTCCTCAGACACTTCCTACACCTCCTCCTTCCTCCCTCCTCCCTCCTCCTCATCCGTCTACCCCCCTCCTCCTCAGCAGCACCAGCAGCATCATCAACATATCAGGGTCGCCATCATCACCACTTCCACCACCACCACCACCATCATCATCACCATCATCATCATCAGCACCATCATCACAATCATCCGCATCATGAACATCACCACAACCACAGTTGTCAACATCAACATCAATCACCATCACCATCAACGACGTACTCAGCATACGTTTCGGCATCCTCAGCAGCATCATCACCAGCATCCTCATCACTGTAAATATCGTCATAACCATCACCACCATCAGCGTCATTAGCATCAGCAGCATCATCATCATCATCATCACCATCAACATCATCATCATCGCCACCAGCATCAACATCATACTCATCATCAGTATTCAGCACCACCAGCATCATCATCATCCTCATCATCAGCGGCACCATCATCAACATCATAACCCACCCGCCCCCCCCCCCCCAACACCATCATCGTCATTATCGTCATCACCATCGCCACCATCAGCATCGTCATCACCATCATCATCGTTATCATCGTCGTCGTGATCACCACAACCACAACCATCGCCACCATTCTCGGCATCACCAACACCATCATCATCATCGTCGTCAACAGCATCGTCATCATCGCCGTCGTCATCATCGCTTTTTGCAAACACCCGCCAGTTTCGTCGTCTTCGCCATTATTAGCATCATCGCGACCAGCAGCACCACCATCAACATCAGCAGCAGCAGAATCATCATCATCATCATCGTTAGCACCGTCATCATCATCATCGCCATCATCACCATCGTCATCGCCATCATCATCCTCAGCGTCACCATCCGCGCCATCGTCATCATCATCACCGTCATCCTCGCCATCCTAGTCATCACCATGGTGATGATGCTGGTGGGGATGATAATGAGGGTGATGGTCAGGATAATCATCAGCAGCGTCATCAGCATCACCACCAACGCCATCATCAACTTCATCATCATCAGCAGCAACAACATCATCACCATCAGCATCATCATCTTCGTCCGCATCCTCACCCTCATCCTCATCCTCGTCCTCATGCTTATCATCATCCTCCTCTTTCCTGCATCCTCCACCTCCTTCTCCCTCCATATCCCCCTCCTGCTCTTCCTCCTCCTCCTCCTCCTGCTCCTCCTCCTGCTCCTCCTCCCCCTGCTCCTCCTCCTCCTCCTCCTCCTCCTCCTCCTCCTCCTCCTCCTCCTCCCTCCAACTCCTTCTCCTGCCTCCTCCTCCCCCCCTTCCTTCTCCCTCCCTCCTCCTCCTCCTCCTTCTCCTCCTACTCATCTTCTTATTATCCTGCTTCTTCCTCCTCCTCCTCCTCCTCCTCCTCCTCTTCCTCCTCCTCCTCCTTCTCCCCCTCCTCCTTCTCCTCCTCCTCCTCCACCTCTGCCTCCTCCTCCGCCTCCTCCTGCGAGCGCCGAAGCCCGGTCTGCGCCGGCGCCCGCGCTTGCGCCCCCTCTGTGCTTGTTGAGCTCCGCGGCGCCCCCGTAATCGCTCTTCAGGTCAGCCCAGCAGCGCCGGCTCACCCGGCCAGTTCCGCGGCCAGGGTGGCCCGGGCGCGCGGCCGCGCCGCCTGCGAGCCGAGCGCCGTCCGGAACTGGCGAGCCGTGGCCGCCTGCAGGGCGACTGCCAGCTCTGCGCCCCAGCGGCGGGCGAGGGCGCTGGCCGCAGCCGCGGCCGCGGCAGCGTCGCCCCCGGCAAGCAGCTGCGCCTGGTCCCGCGCGAGGCGCCGCAGGTGCCGCAAGGCAGCGGGCCCGTGGCGGCCGCCCGTCCCCAGAGCCAGCGGCACCATCCGCCAGGGCGCGCGCCCGGCGGGGTACCGCTGGTGTTTGTCCGGCTCGGCGTCGCGGCAGACTGTGCCGTCCCGCGCAGCAGCGGCCCGCAGCCCCTCGACGTCGCCGGGCACGCAGTAGCGCACCGTGACATCGAGCAAGATCCGCGGGCAGTCCGCCCGCTGAATCTCCAGGTCAAAGATCGCCTCCTCGCGCTGCGCCGTCAAGCCGGTGGCGCCGCAGTGGGCGCAAGCCGCCCCAGCCGCCGGGCGCGCCGCCGCCGTGCCGTCCGCGTCGCAGCCGGCGCAGTGCCAGCGCCAGCGGTCCCAAGCTGGTACTGGCGTCTGCCGCGCGACGCGGTAGCCGCAGTCGGCGTGGATCCGCTCCCACGCGGTCTCCAGGTCGCCGCTGCGCGTTTTGAGCTCCTTCCCCTACTCCTCCGTCTCCTCCGCCTCCTCCTCCTCCTGCTCCTCCTGCCCCTCCTCCCTCCACCGTCCTCCCTCCACCACAATGACAGGCAGCGAGCTGGGGTTTCCCCAAGCGGCGGGTGTCCCCCTTTGAGAATCCCTCCTCCCATCCAGGGACTGTGCAAAGGCGGCCCGCTCGCAGTCCTGGCAGTTTGGTCAATGATCCTCCTCCTCCTCCTCCTCCTCCTCCTCCTCCTCCTCCTCCTCCTCCTCCTCCTCCCTCCCTCTCCTCCTCCCTCCTCCTCCTCCTCCTCCTCCTCCTCCTCCTCCTCCTCCTCCCTCCCTCCCTCCCTCCCTCCCTCCCTCCCTCCCTCCCTCCTCCTCCTCCCTCCGCCCCTCCTCCCTCCACCCTCCTCCCTCCACCTCCTCCTCCCTCCGTCCTCCCTCCCTCCTCCCTCCCTCCTCTCTCCCTCCTCCTTCTTCTGCGGAGGCCCTACCACTTCTGCAGCCTGACCACACAACGGCAACCCGTCGCGTTCCCCGCGCTCGCAAGGGGGCAAAGCTTGCGAGGGCGCCGGGGCGCCGCTCCTCGCTCTCGTCGATGCACCGGTCCTGCAAGACGAGGCCGCACCCCGTGCAGATCAGGTCGCCCATGGTGTGGTCGACGATCAGCCTGGGGCTGCGGAGTGGGGGCCGGCCTTGGATCCTCCTCCTCCTCCTCCTCCTCCTCCTCCTCCGCCTCCTCCGCCTCCTCCGCCTCCTCCGCCTCCTCCTCCTCCTCCGCCTCCTCCTCCTCCTCCTCCTCCGCCGCCACCTCCTCCTCCTCCTCCTCCCCTCCTCCTCCAGACTGGGGGGCTGAGGTGGCCGGTGGCCCAGCACCGGTTCCGATCAGCAAGAAGGGGGGCGAGAGACCCCCTCGTCGCCCGCCACGGTTCGACGCAGCTCGAGAAGCTGAGCAGCTTCGGTCGCGGGGCAGATCCAGGGACAGATTTGGAGCGGGAGGGGGTTGATTTCAAATGGGCTCGGGAAAGGAGTGGCGAGCAGCAGGACAGAGCAGCAGAGAAGAGGGAGCACCGCGATGAAAAGGTGATCCCGACAAAGCGGGCCTGAAACGCGAACCGACTGGACCGACCCCAACGCAGTGAGCGGGCGATCGTCCGATTGATTAAGGAGGCGCGCCGCCGTGCAATCCCAATGTTGGGCTGCGGATGAATACTGGGCCACACAAAAATAATATTCCGCCTGACCACCGTGATAGCAGAATGAGGCATCCAGCGCTTGTGCAGGAACTCCAAGAGGGCGGGGTCGGAACAAGTGGCAATAATGCTTGAAACTGAACCACTTTTGGCTTGTGGCTAGCACATACTTTGCCTAACACTATACATTACCGTCTGTAGCAGACAAAACGGATTCGCAATGGACCTCGACTGAGGCTGGCGGGAACGCCCGAGGGGCATCCTACTCGATAGGACACGAAGGGCGGCAACGCGCCAACACCGATCCCGCAATACGAATTCACCCGCAATGGCCCCCTTCTGGGAAAGATGGTTCAAGTATCAACTTGAGCTCTGAAGAGAGACACGATCAAATAATCGCGATGGAATGTCTTGACCTGTCGTCGTACTCTGGGGGTCCTTGCTGAACCCTGGAGCCGTTGAGTGACGGCTCTAGATGCAACACTCGTCCAGAAATGGGTCCAAACCTACAGGGGCCACCTCTGTCCTTGGGGACAACGGGGCAACACCATCAGACCGCTTACTTTCGGTACCTACCTATACGACCACCCTCCGGGTGATAAGGAGTTTGTGTGGGGGCGAAAAGGGGGGGAACAAGCATCTGACTCAATCGATCTTAATATCGATCTCACTCAACAGGACACCACGGGACACCTCGGGACACTTGTCGATCTCACTATCAATCTCACTCAACGGGACACCACGGGACACCACGGGCCACCAAGGGACACCGCGGACCACCTCTCGATCTCACAATCGATCTGACTATGGATCTCACGATCGATCTCACTCAACGGGACACCGCGGGACACCACGGGAGACCTCGGGACACCACATCGATCTCACTATCGATCTCACTATCGATCTCACTCAACGGGACACCACGGGACACCACGGGGCACCTGTGTCGATCTCACTATCGATCTCACGATCGATCTCTCTTTTTGGGGCAACACGGGACACCACGGGACACTTCGGGGCACCACATCGATCTCAGTATCGAACACCACGGGACACCACGGGACACGTGTCGATCTCAATATCGATCTCACTCAAAGGGACACCACGGGAGACCACGGGAGTCCTGGTGGCACCACATCGATCTCAGCATCGATCTCAGTACCGATCTTACTATCGATCACACTCAACGGGACACCGCGGGACACCACGGGGCACCTGTGTCGATCTCACTATCGATCTCACGATCGATCTCACTCAACGGGACACCACGGGACACTACGGGACACCTCGGGGCACCACATCGATCTCAGTATCGACCTCAGTATCGATCTCAGTATCGATCTCACTCAACAGGACACCACGGGACACCTGTCGATCTCACTATCGATCTCACTTTTTGGGACACCACGGGACACCCCGGGACACCTCGGGGCACCACATCGATCTCCGTATCGATCGCACTATCGATCGCACTATCGATCGAACTCAACGGGACACCACGGGACACCAGGGGACAACGCGAGCCACCGCCGGACGGGCGGGCGGGGGATAATCATTTGTCTTGACTTCGCCCTAGCAACGGCGGACACCACGGGACACCACGGGACACAACGGGACACCGCGGGACACCGCGAACTACCGCAGGACGGACCGACGGAGGGGCGGGGGAGAATCATTCGTCTTGACTTCGCCCTAGCAGCGGCGGACACCACGGGACACCGCTACGGCCACCGCCGGGCGGACGGACGGACGGACGGGGGAGCAACACTTGTCCTGACTTCGCCCTAGCAGCCAAGGGCTCAGTCCTCTCGCGCGCCCACGCAACTTCGCCTCGCCCGCACGCGCGACACGACCGAAGCGCAACGATTTCCCGGTTGGGAGCCTCCGTTCCGCTGCGACCGCACCCCCCAATCTCCGACGATCGAGCATGCCTGCGCGCCCCCGAGCGACCACCCCCGGGGCATGGCAGCCCTCGAGCCCATGCCACGGCGCCCGCAGCGCGGTGATCTTCGCGCCCGTGGGGGCAATAGGGGGCCACATGCGAACCCTACCCCTACCCCCCACGATGTTTGAGAGGGAGGGTGGGGTTCACATCGCTCGAGAGTTCTCGAACAAAGCGAATCCCACCCTCCCACTCAAAAATCGTGGGGGGTAGGGGTAGGGTTCGCATGTGGCCTCCTAGGCAACCCAGAGAAACGCCCTGCCATGGGCTGGTTCCCCCGTCAGCCACGGTCCATAAGGACCCCTGGCAGTCGAAACAATTCACTCGATGCCACGTGCGGAGTCAGAAAGCAACACGGACCTGGCAAACCGTCCGGCCCATCCACTGGACAACTGACTCTGTTCGGAGACAGCTGCGAACGGCACTGGCAGAAGTTAAATACGAACATGCCCGGAACAAAGCCTGTTTGAGCGACGTGCGCAATTACAAGCGCTTGCAGTCAGGATTCTAGTCGCCCTGACTTGCGCGATCGATCATTCAAGCGTTCGCGCTGTGTGCTGCCCGCGGCCGTCGCTGCTTGGACTTCTGCGCTTGGGCTCCTTTGCGTTGTTGTTTGGGCTCATGCTCGTGAACTCCTATGGCCCGGCGTGCTGCTCACGGCCGTTCCTACGCGTGGACTCCGATATCACGAACGCTGTCTGCACAATGCTTGAACCAGAGCGTCGTCCTCTGGAGCTGGCTCTGCCAGCCGCCCTTCTCGGCGGCTGCTCGGAAGCCGATGCTTTTCTGCTCCGCTTGCCGTGTCTGGCGCACTTTGCGGTGACTGCTTTGTCTCATGTGACTTCCCGCTCCGTTGGTCCTGGCTGCCGCGCTTGTCACATGGCCGCTTGGGCTACTATGGCTCCCCGTTCTGGATGTCTTGTCAACCGCACCCTTTGTTCTTCGCGCCCAAGCATCGGACCAAAGAAGACAAGAACCGCAATCAGAAACGGAGCGCGGGTGAAATCAGGTACACGGCTCGCGGGCTAAGCAGCGTCAAAGGAAGAGGAGGAGGAGGAGGAGGAGGAGGAGGGAGGAGGAGGAGGAGGAGGAGGAGGAGGAGGAGGAGGAGGGAAAATAGGAGGAGGAGGAGGAAAGGGAGGAGGAGGAGGAGGAGGAGGAATAGGATTTTACCGCTGCGCTGCTATACGTGACTTCTCATGCTGACCTGGGCTCTGGCATCGAGAGACTAGGCGGCCGTCGAGCACGACACTTCGGAGGCTGACACAGGCGCGCGCGCATGCCAGCCGCGCTCCTGCAAGCAAAGGCTGCGCCCCCGCAGCACGAGACAGAGAGGTCAGGCCGGCCTACAGGATCAGGGTGTATCAAAGAGGCACATCATACTGTTAGCCTCCAAGTCAATCCAGACATCATTTAGCTTGGGGTGCGGGCTGGCGCCGAGGCGGTCCCAGTAATAATTCGATTCCCGTACATCGTACATTGTGAGGTCTACCTGGGCACACTTTAGCCAGGTCGCATGCATTTTTGCCAGTTGGAAAGGTTATACAAAGCAGACATATACAAACTATGCCTCCGTCCAAGCAGGCGAAGCCCACGCAATGGAGCCCCAGACTCTCAAGGATGTCAATCTGGAGCTTGTGATTTTCTGCGCAACTCGAACTGTTGCTGGCAATCACTGCGCCCTTGAGAAGGGGCAACAGCATTTTGGCAAGCAGCAGTGCAGGCAGCAAGTTCTCCAGCCTGGGCCGTCGGGGGGGGGGGGGGGGGGAGGGGCGTATACATGACCAAGCTCCTGCCCCGAGTCGGACACAGATACATCGCTCCACCCCGTCCGCGATAACTCTCGAATGACCAACCTCAGACACGAGCCGTGCATGAATATGCGGCCTGAGACTCTGTAGTCATCCTTATCAAGGTTATCAAGGTGCTGGAACGTCGGCTTCGTTTTGGACGGGGGCGGGAAGAAGTCGCCAGGGTGCGAGAACAGCCCAAACGCGTGCAAAACCCTCTCCGCCTTCGACAACTCATGCCACGCGCCAGGTTTGAACTTCAAGACGTCCCCGATAATCTCGTCTCATATCGCGCTGACAGACTCGCAACGCCAGAGCCCGTGGAACATCGCGTCGCGCGCGAGGCCGCGGAGGGGGCATAACTGGTCGGGCAGGATGTGCCCGTGGGCCTGACCCACATCTCCTCGGACCACCTCATGGGGTCTGCGGCAAACAGCAAAGCTGCAGAGAGTGATCTCCCTCCAGCGGAGGGCGGCAAACATCCACCCAGGACTCTCCTGAGCGTGGCGAGTTCGTAGTCCGAGGCGCCGTATACCTCGCGTCCAGAAGTGAGGCTGGCCATGGCGCCTGAAGCGAAGACCCGTTTGGCGTGGCGACCAAGGGGCGACTTGTGACGACCAAGACGCTCCTTCTTCTTCTGAAGCAAGATCCTCCGAACCTTCATCTTGCCTCCTCGACGGGCGACGCGACGGGGCTTGCCAGCGGCATCGTCAATGCCGGGGTTCGCAGCGGAGCCGCACGGCGC